ATGACCCAGCTCCCCCTCCCCCGAGGGTCTAAGGCAGGGGTGGGCAACCTTTTTGACTCGAGGGCCACAATGGGTTCTTAAACTGGACCGGAGGGCCGGAACAAAAGCATGGATGGAGTGTTTGTGTGAACTAATATAAATTCAAAGTAAACATCATTACATAAAAGGGTACGGTCTTTTTCTTTTTTAGTTTTATTCATTTCAAACGGGCCGGATCCGGCCTGAGGGCCGTAGTTTGCCCACGGCTGTTCTAGACACACTGTTCTAAAACAACCAACGATTAGAAATGCAACTAGAAGCCAACAGCCAGGAAAAGACTAAAGCCAATTCAACAGAAGGAAGAGTTCAAGGAAGTGGACAAGCTTAACTTGAAAGAACAGTTAGAGGAAAGCAGAGAAAAGGAAAGAACATGAAAGCTATTCCCAGACATTTCCCTCTCTAATTCATCCTTCTAAACCACATTCCCTGGAGCTGCTACTGCCAAATGACTCTGAAAAATACATGTGATGTGTATACAGAGAGAATAATAAAGCAAATGTGGCAAAATGTTGAAAATGGATTAAGGGTACACATTAAATCCTCTGTTATTCTCACACCTTTTTGCTACGTTTGGAATTATTGCAAAGTAAGAAAATGTTTTTAAAAGACACCTGAGATGGCCCTGTAGCAAAGGGCAGCAACAGGGATCAAATGAGTGGTCGCTGAACCTCAGTCACTGGCCTCGCCAATGCCAGTGGAGAATGCTAAGCCCTCAGGGTCATGGACACACCAAGTCCAGCCACCACAGGTGCCCGGGCGGCAGAGGCAGTGGGACCAAACACAATGGATTTGCTGCTCTGGGTGTTTTATTCAAGAACAAGACATGGTTATCATTAGGTATTTTATGCAGCAACTAAAGGGGATTCACATCCAGATCTTTGTCTGCCCTGAGGGAGGCTTAGCCATTGCTTATATCCACAATTTGGTTAATTACATGTTGATTTCTTCTTTGCAGTTGGCTAAATTATTAGGTTCCAGGCAAGCTCATCCAGTTACAGCTGTGTCTGCCAAGTACTGTGCTACACTTTAACCCTTAGCAGGAATAGCATTAGTAAAAACTGCCCAGACCTTGAGACCCTTGTCC